CCAATATCCGGGTTATGATCGGGTTGAGGTCGGTATTCGGGTTTCTGAGTTGATCAGAATAACCCGTTTACAAGCATAAATAGAAAGATTTACCTCTAACTTGCATAACCCGATTTAAATGTGGACGTTGGGGTAGCGTCAGGAAGTATGGACTACGTCCAGACGCAATATGCGTCATTTCCGGTTCTTCTTGTTCCGGTATCCATGAAAGCAACATGTTTCCCAGTTCGGAAGAGATAGCGACCGCGTTTCTTTGCGCTTTAGTTTCCTCATCACTCCGAAAGTGTGGTGCTGTGCCGCGACTCGCCATGTTGCTCCCAACTTGTTGTTTACTTCCGGAGTTCTGGCGCATGCAAGACGTCTCGCTACTCAAAAGACCAAGATTCCTTGCGAACAGAGCATGCGCAGAACACACACTTTGATGGGGATATCCCGATATGCGTTTACACGACCAAACATTCGGGTTAGAAAAGGGTTACCCCAGGTGTAGTAACCGGGTTTTTAAAAACCCGGTTATGAGCATATCCGGGTTTTTGGCGGTGTTTACAAGGACCTGCGGAACCGGGTTATTGTGAATATTCGGGTTTTAAAAGGGTTACTGGCTGCATGTAAACGCACTGTATAAAAGCCATTTAGCTCCTCAGCAAGGCCATGATTAGCATCAGAAATGGAGGATGGTCTCCTGTAGTTGGTAATGTGCTGAATATTTCTCCACAATAATGTGGGGTTGTTGGCTGTAAACTGGTTTTTCAGCTTTGCTGCATACTTAATTTTAGCAGCTCTGATATCCTCGTTCAACGTGTTCCTGAGTGATTTGTACAGAGGCCTGTCTCCTGCCCTATAAGCCTGCTCCTTTGCCCGTCTCAACTGGCTCAGAGTTGCTGTAAACCATGGCTTGTTGTTATTAAAGGTGCGAAAAGTCTTTGTTGGCACACACACTTCCTCACAGAAGGTGATGTAGGACGTCACAGTGTCCGTTAGCTCGTTCAGATCGCCGGTGGCATCTGCAAATACTCTCCAGTCTGTACAATCAAAACAGTCCTGTAACTCCTCTTTTGCTTCATTTGTCCATTTCCTCACTGTCCTGATGGCTGGCTTTACAGATTTTAGTTTTTGTTTATAAGTGGGGATAAGATGAATCAAATTATGGTCAGAGAGGCCGAGAGCTGCACGAGGGACAGAGTGGTATGCCCCTTTAAGAACTGTGTAGCAATGATCCAATATGTTGTTGCCTCTAGCCGGACATCTGATGTGCTGTCTGTATTTCGGTAGTTCCACATAATGATAATTATATATATCAATCAGTAAAAATGTGTAGATTGTTTTGCATGCTGGGCAGGTTAGCATTGTTATTTAGTCCGTCTCTAAGTATGTCACATTTTAAGGGAGCATTATTAATTATATCACTGTAAATAATAATTCTTGTTGCGTACAATCAAGGCTGAATATATTTTTAGCTGTTTTTTTGTTGTTGAGAAAAATGGGTTTCTAGAGACTTATATACGTATTCATGCTAAGTTATCCAACTTTAAAATTTTATGTAACCCTAACTGACTCCGGTTTGAACTGTGTGCTTATTCATTTTGTGTCTATGATGAAGCCGTGGAGACTTAATAAAGAAGTCACCTTATGAGCAGTGAATCCTTAATTTTTGTCAGTCATACAGAAATACTTGATTTCAAGAGGAAAGACAGCTGAAAATGTAGTTGTGTAAAGCTTTGACACAACATGGAAATTTAATTAGATATCCAAATTTGAATTTTATCATCAAATAAAATTTTAGAATAAACAAACACATTTTAAGGGAGTAAAAGGGAAAAGGAGATTAACACCTTGCAGCATTTGCATTTCCTGCTTTTTCCAGCAGTGATATTGCTAATTCTGTTGAAGGAAATTCACTGTTTAATGAGAGACAGCTGGTGAAAATGAGATGTAAATAAGTAAGAATGCATGTAGACCTACATAACTGAGCAAAACTGAAACACTAATATAAAGTATATATATTATATATTTTTTCTCCCTTCGAATCTGGGAGGGTGGAACCCCAGCTCCAGCTATGGACGAGCCCCCAGGGGGCCCAACTTGATATTTTTTCATGGGGCCCAAAATCTCTGGCAGCCCCCCTGTCTACAGGTCACCGGTTTGTGTGTAATCAGATGTCTCTGTAGACGTTTTCTGAGCTGAAGGGATATGAGATTCTGGACGTTTATTTAAAAAAAAAAAGAGAGATTCTGGACTTTTCCTCAGACAGGCTCATGGATGTGTTGTGGAGTCGCCACATTGGAGACAAGAGCAAGTGCTATTAAGCCAAAGTTTCATAATCAGGGAACATTTTCTAAGTGACAAGTTTCTCTGAGAGACAGGGTTTGGAAAACACTGCTTCAGTGAGAAGAATTTTTCTACATGCACTCTGGTTCTCCGACGCGTTCCAAGCCCCCGATCTACACATCTTCAGCTTGCTGTCCACCTTACGTGTGCGCTGATAGTGAGCTCAGTGTCCAGCTCAGGTGCTCGGGTGGGAATGATAAATGACCCGCACTTGTATAGCACCTCTCAGAGTAAGGACTCCACAGTGCTTTACACTACAGTGTATCATTCATCCATTCACACACACTGATGATGGTGAGCTACTATGTAGCAACAGCTGCCCTGGGGCGCACTGACAGAGGCGAGGCTGCTGAGCACAGGCACCACCGGTCCCTCTGACCACCACCAGCAGGCAAGGTGGGTTAAGTGTCTTGCCCAAGGACACAACAGCAGAATTCTCTGTCCAGAGCCGGGATCGAACCTGCAACCTTCCGATTACTAAACAACCCATTCAACTTGTTGAGCTACTGCTGCCCAAAATCTTTTCATGACTGATTTAGCTACACCCGCGATGTGCGTAAAGATAGAAATGTCAATGCATCTGCAGGCTTGAGGTTTCTCCGTCAAAATAAACGATCAAATACGGGAAATATCCTGTCAGTGCCTTTTAACTGCTTTGCCTTCTTGAAAAGATTGTTGCAAACAGGAACAATAAACTTTATTAACACCAGAGCCATGCACGCTGCGCCGTTATCTCCGCCACTGTAATTGAGGGGAAAAAACAAATTGATCAGATCCTTTTTTTACCTTTTCAACATTGTTTAATGTAAAGTTTAATTCAATACAAAGTTTAATTACAACAATGTCGAGACAGAGCCTGGATTTGTATTCTGAACAGTTTAAACGTGTTTTTAAAGAACATGTTATGACGCATCAAAAAGCGGCACCTGCTCAACTATTAAAACCACTAACAGTGTGAAAAATATAAAAATATTGTAGGCACAGATGGACTACAACTTCTGGATCACTTTCATACAAGGTTCGCGTCCACAAAGAGGGGGGCGGCCCGCGGGACACCGATTGAGGGCCACTGGGCTAGACCGACAAGCAGCGCAGTCATTTTGCTTCTGCTACTCTGTCTAAATTTCTAGGCTAGTTTAATGTGGTAGTAGGTCCAGTATGTATGTAGATTAGAACAATAACACAGTTTTTATTTACAAGGCATTAAAATGACGTAATTACTATTTAATAGTGTAACGAACAGAATGACTCTCATTTTTCCCTTCTTTGCTCAGAACTAGTCTGCATGAGATATGGTCTCAAAGTCTCATGCATTCCTTCTGACCTGCTTATTTTCAGCTCAACAGAAGAATGAAGAATGAACTCTTTTCTTTTAATTAATGAAAGAACTCTATTTTAACAAAGCTAATCCATCCAAGTGTTAGTCAATAAATAAGATGTGACCAACCTGTAAAATCTAAATATTAATTACTTTATTATGATCCTATAGAAATAATAAGTACTGTCACTTTAAGTGTTCCAACAGGACTCATTACACGTAGCGTTAAAAAGACATGACACATTACTTTCACTGATCCAATCAGAATCTTACAGATCTGACGGAGGCGTGTTTCTGATGGTGTTTGGTAATTTTCATTCGACAATAAACCATAACATCCGAAGTATAAAACTACGCCACGTCAGCTCTAACGCCAGTTCAAAGCGTTCCAGAGCAAGTGACGGAGTGGCCAATCCTGATCTTTTAACTCTTTAACCGAAAGAACCAACGACAAGCTGAAAAATCCAGTCGCTATAACAACCAGCGGCAACAACAGCTCCTTTCAGAATAAAAGTCATCCACCGACCCAGGCTTGGGTCTGACCAGACGCCAATAAAAGTGTCGTGTGCCTGAGGTAACTCATGACGGGTTTGATCAGAACCGCGGCTTCTTCTACCAGCTCGGCTTCCAGAGAGGGTTCACTGGACCTCGACATTCCTGATCTACAGAGGACTTCCACCGAAGGCAGGGTAGACCGGCAAATGGTGTCTCATGTTTTTTTTTTTCTGAAGCTAACCAAAGCTTAATGCAAAACATCTTCAGTTCCCGTCAGAACTAATCGCTTCTTCGGTTTTGCTGGTTCTGATTTACAGCACGTCATCCATTCACCGCCTCATCCATTTTTAGTTACACCATACATTTAGTTTTAAAGTCAGTCTAGTTTAATTTGTTAGTAATAAAATTCTTAACTTTTAAACTTGACTCTTTCTATTCTGTTGTCTCTGAGTGAATATGTAACGGTTACCTAATCTCTGCAATAAAAAGATCCAATCTTCTGGTTTAAATAACCCAGTGTCCATTAGACGGGATTCATACTGGATATGGATCTTATGTCTATGGTCATTAATTAAACTGTAATTCTACATTCATTACAATAGGATCCCAGGACTCTAATGAGTTGCAAACCTGACAGGCAGAAATATATCTTGTGTTCATATATCTAAATATCTCTAAATTTACAGAATACTGTTTCACATTGATTTGCTGATTTCTTAAATCCAGTTAAAAAATTAAACAAAATGTGTAACACTGCTAGTAAGAAAATCCTGGGCAACATGTCTGTTCTGAGTTTTCTACCATTTGCACATTTAGTCAGTGTATTGTGTCATTATTTGTGTGTTGTTGTTTTTTTCAGTATCGTCCAGGTAAAGGAAACCCGTCTGACATCTCTGGCTGCCAACATCTTCATCGGCGTCTCTGTTCTGCTGCTGCCCCTCCCGCTGCAGTGGATCCCCAAACCTGTGTTGTATGGCCTCTTCCTCTACATTGCCCTCACATCCATTGATGGAAACCAGATGTGTGATCGCATGGCCCTCCTCCTAAAAGAGCAGGTGAGAAGATGTGTGTGTGTGTGTGTGTGTGTGTGTGTGTGTGTGTGTGTGTGTGTGTGTGTGTGTGTGTGTGTGTGTGTGTGTGTGTGTGTGTGTGTGTGTGTGTGTGTGTACCCATATGTTGACTGCAGGGCTCAGCAGATCAAACAGTTGACCAGGTGCCCAGTGCAGAAGGACCATGTCTGATTCACATCTGCAAACACATTTCTATTTCTCTACCAATAACCAAGGGTGTGCTTTAGGAAATAAACACCAGGCGAATTAAAAGATGAATAAAAGAACATTTTCATTTTGCTGCTAGAAAACCTCTGGACTGAGTCGGATTAAAAGGGGGAATTTCAAGCATATTAAACTCTTTCATCAACAGGAAACCTACAGAAATGTCTCTCCTGGTATTTCTCATCTGAAGTGTCCGATTTAACCTTTCTGCTGTGACAGTGAGGAGATAAGAGGCTTTCTCATTTCTCGTTTATGTGACTAAATGGTGCCTCCAAGTGGTGGAAAGAAGAAATGTGCATCAGATTATTTTATGTTTAACGATTAGTCAAAAATTGCCTCTGAATATTTAAATTAAGAGAGAAATGGATATCCAATCAAGTGCTGACGTAGAACTAGGATTGTAGATTTCAGACCAACCTGAATCACTGACCTTTTTATTAACATGGTTTATGTTTACAATTGCAGGTTAAAGCTCAGTTAGGGTCAGATTTCCCATCTCTCAGCCCATGCTGGTGAATGATCATTACTAGGGTTTATACAATCCTGCATGGTTTGTTCACTTCCAATGGGGGAGATTTATTTGAATCCTCTCACCCCCTGCAGACATCTTACCCGCCTACCCACTACATCCGTAAAGTGCCCCAGAGGAAGATCCACTACTTCACCTTTTTGCAGATGATGCAGCTGCTGGTGCTGTGCACATTTGGCATGTACCCCATACCATACATGAAGATGATCTTCCCTCTGGTCATGGTCCTCCTAATCCCAATCAGGTATGCCTGTGGTCCTTCTCAGCCAGACACCATGGTAACCCTAAGAAGAACAATTCACATCTGAATTAAAAATGCCTTTTAATAAATTTTAAACTGCACGTCTGTTTACATTGAGAACACAAAGGTGTTATCTAAAATTCCTAATTTAGAGCTCAATGCAGCAGATTGTGTTGCACATGCAGTTTTAAACATTCTGATGGTTGCATATCCCCCTGGTAAGTACAGGTGAGGCTGGAAAAATTAGAATATGGTGCAAAAGTTCATTTATGTCACTAATTCAACTTAAAGGTGAAACTAATAAATGAGACAGACC